TTCTTTTTGGTACAGTGACTCAGTGTATTCCTTCCATCTTCTTTTGATGCTTCCTGTATCATTCAATATTTTGTCCACAACTTATTCAATACTGCAACTCAAGCCTTGAATTTTTTCTTCAGTCCTTTTAGCTTGAGAAATGTTGGAAGTAGATCGGCAGCTCCTTCTTCCTAGCCTTTCTTAGACTAGAAGCTCCGCTGAAACTTGTCCACCATCAGTGAACCTGCTGGTATTTGAATTACTGGTGGCATAGCTTCCAGCATTACAGCAACACGCAAACCACCACAGTACGACAAACTGACAGACGAGTGGTGGATTCAACTTTTTACAAGTGTATGATTTATTGACAGCACTTACAATCATCACCTGTGCCACCTTATCCTTAATTAATGCAATTTTTCCATCATCGTTAACCCCACCTTCACCCCTCCGCCCCACCCCTGGTAACCACTAATAAACTGTGGTCTCTATACATTTGCCTTCTCTTGTCTTTTTATATAAATGAGGTCATACAGTATTTGTCCTTTTGTGACTGACTTATTTCACAAGCTCCATCCATATTGTAGAATGTATGAAGACTTCATTTCTCTTACTGGCTGAGTAGTATTCCATTGTATATATGTACCAAACTTTGTTTATCCATTCATCTGTTGATGGGCATTTAGGTTGTTTCCACCTTTTGGCTATCGTGAATCACTAGTATTCACAATGAACACTGTTGTACAAGTCTCTGTTTGAGTCTCTGCTTTCAAGTCCCTTCGGTGTATACCTAAGAGTGGAATTGTTGGGTCATATGGTAGTTCTATTTTTCATTATTTTGAGGAACCGCTACACTGTTTTCAACAGCAGCTATACCATTCTGCATTCCCGCCAGCAGTGGATAAGGGTTCCAATTTCTCCACATCCTCATCAACATTTGTTATTTTCTGCTTTGTTTTGTTTTTCATCTTAGCCATCCTAGTGGGAATGGGAATTCCAGAACACTTAATTGTGCTCATGAGGACCCTGTACTTAGACCAAGAGGTAGTCGTTTGAACAAAACAAGGGG